ACTCAGAAGAAGACAGACTAGGGAAAGTTTGGAATGTCTTAGAGACTGGTTACATGGCGGCAAGCAGAATGCTGATAGAAATATGGACTGTAAAGACCGTTCTAAGGAGGTAGAAATAAGAAGGAGTTTATTAGAAACTGGGGCAAAGATCACCCTTGCTGTGAACTGGCAAGGAACTTGGCTGCATTGTGTCCCTGCCCTAGGACTTTGTGGAAGTTGGAACTTAAGAGTTGTGAACCAGAGTACTTGGTAGAAACTTGTGAACCAGAGTATTTGGCAGAGGAAATTTCTAAGCAGCAAAGCATTAAGGAAGCAGCACGGCTACTTGTAACAGCCTATGCTGAGTTATGGTGGCAAAGACATGACATAAAGCCAGAATTTAAAAGGGAAGTAGAGTGTAAAGATTTGGAAAATTTGGAGCCTGACCATGTGGTAGGGAAGCAGAGAGCATTTTCAGAAGGAAAATACAATGGTGCTAAGATTAGTACAGAAGAAAAGAATTATCAAGAGAAGGGAATAAAGGCCCTGAAGGCATTGCAGAAACCTCTGAGGCCAACCCTTCCATTTCAGGCCCAAAGGCCTAGGGAGACAGAATGGTCTCAGGGAACAGGCCTGAGATGCCTTTCATGGGCTCACTGCCCAGGGCAACCTTGGGAAGCTGCTCCCAGCACCAGCACTCCAGCTGTTTTGGCTGCTCCAGCTGTGCCTAAATTGGCCCCAGGTGTGGCTGGATGTGCAGCTTTGAAAAACACAAGTCAGAAGCCTTGGCAGCATCCACGTGGTGTTAGGTCTGCAGGCTCACAGAATGCCAGAGCTCTGAAGGCTTGGGAGCCTCCACCCCAATTTCAAAGGATGTATTGAAAAGCCTGGGGGCCCAGAAAGAGATTTGTCTCAGGAGCCGAGTCACCACACAGAGTCTTCGCTAGAACAATGCTGAGAGGAAACATGGGGTCAGAGTTGCAGCAGAAAAACCTCTATAGCGCCATGCCTAGTGGAGGCATGACAGCAGGACTGCCATGGAGACCCCAGAATTGTGGAGCTACCAGAGTGCACCAGCTTGTGAGAGCTAAAGTATCACCTGAGAGCAAGAAAGCCATAGAGGGCATTGAACATGGAGTCAGGGTACATGATTCGCAAGCTTTGAGATTTAATGCCTGCCCTTCTGGGTATCAGACTTGTTTAGGACCCATTACCCCTTTCTTTTGGCCTACGTGTTTCTCCCTTATTTAATGGGAACATTTACTGTATGCTTGTATCTCAGAAGTAGATAATTTGTATTGATTTCACAGATGGGACCTTGAACTTTGGACTTTTGAGTTGAAATAAGTTAAGACTTTGGGGATGAAATGAATGTATTTGCATGTTTTGGGGGGCCAGGGGTGGAATGTAGTGGATTGGATTATGTCCCTCAAAACTCACTGAAGCTGGAATTGTGCCCCCCACATTTTATGTATTAGAAACTTGGTCCCCACCATTACTATTAAGAGGGTAGAAAATCCTATTATGGTAATTGAAAGGTGGAGCCTTGAAGAGGTGATTGGATTATAGGACTGTGCAGTAGTGAATAGATAAAAATGGTGGTCAGGGGCATGGTTCTGAGGGCTTTAAAATAAAAGAGAGGAGAGTCTGTCTCTCTCTCTGTGTCCACCGTCTTTCAATGTGAGACCTATTGGTCACTGTCAGCACCGCCAGATGGACTTTGGACTTCCCACCCTCAGAAACTGTAAGCAAATAAATTTTGTTTTCTTTATAAATCACCCAGTTTCAAGTGTTTTGTTATAAGCAACAGAAACAGACTAATACAGACCTTCTTGACCAGGACACAACTGAATCTCTAGCTTGTGCATAGGAATGTGGATTCCTTGCATCAACACACACAGGATAGGCACTCTGAGGGAATGCACTGAACTTCTTAACCTACAAATACTTCTAGGGGTGGGAACCAAGTCACCTAGATTTACCTTCAAGTTTCATATTTAGTTAAAATTAGAGGAATTTTGTTAGTTGTAGAAGAAAAGCAGTTCCATATGAATTGGGCCTAACCAAATCTTCCACCAAATCCAGGGAAAAAAATCAGTTTAATCAAATTCTGAATTAACTTCTTGAGTTGGTATTCTGTATTTCCAACTCAGCTGGAGAATTCTTAAAATTTCCAGCTGGCAATCGGCTAAAACCCCCTATCAGAGTGTAAAAATCAATAACACTTTGCAATCATTTAAAGGTTTTGGTCTTACTTTCTCAGCAAGATTTCCCCCTTCTCTCTTTCCTCTAAGGCTTCATTTTTCATCCCCCCCGCCCCATGCAATTCATATCCTCAGTCCTATGTTCAAGTCAACCATGGTGGCCCCATTTCCCTTCCAATGATAAATCTACATATGGACATATGATATAGTCTGGCCAATGCACCATGTAGGAGAGTCTGCTGTGAACTTCTGAGAAATGTTTCTTCTTTCTTATGAAGAGTATAAAAAAGAGGAAGTCTTCTTCTGGACATTGTTTTATGTGAATTCATGCCTGGAACTGCAGCAGCCATATTTTGACCTCAAGGGGAACTGATCTGTGTGTCAAGTCCACCACTGAGGATGGCAGATGGAATGATGAAAAGGATCTGAGTCCTTTTATCAGTCAGGGTTCTCCAGAGAAACAGAACTAACAGCCTATATATAGAGAGAGGAGATGTAGAGAAGAGGTTTATTATGGGAATTGGCTCAAGTGATTATGGAGGCTGGGATATGCTGTCTGCAAGTTGGAGAACCAGGAAAGCTAGTGACTCAGTCTGAGTTTGAAGGCCTGAGAACCAGGTTGTGGGAGGGGAGTACTGCTGGTGTATGTCCTGGAATCCGAAGGCCTAAGAGCAGGAGCTACACTGTCCAAGGTCAGGAGAAGATGGATGTCCCAGCTCAAGAAGAGAGAGCAAATTCACCCTTCTTCCTTTTAATTTTATTTGGGCGGGCCCTGAACAGATTGGATGATGCCTGCCAACACTGGTGAGGACAGATCTCCTTTTCTCAGTCTACTGATTTAAATGTTAACCTCCTCTGGAAACACCCTCACAGGCACATAGAGAAATAATGTTTTACCAGCTATCTGGGCATCCCTTAACCCAGTCAAGTTGACACATAAAATTAACCATCATAGCCCTTGATTATGAAGTTGAGCTACTCAATTAACCAACCCTGAAATAGTCCTACCATTGGACTTTTTGCTATAGGAGAATAAATTTAAGCCAGCTGAATCAGCTTTTCTGTTAGGGTGCTCTCAACTACAGATAACAGAAAACCCTACTCTGCTGACTTAAATTTATTATCTCATCTTGAGAGCATTCTAAGTGGTATAATATTACAATTTATATTTTGAGGACTCTCAGCATTTGCTTTGATCTTTGCCTCTAGGCATTCCTGCCCTTCCAAGAAGTTGATCCTTTCATGTCATCATTCAAATGAGCTTTCCAAAATTCAAACTTGACCATCTTACAACTCTGATTAAGTTCTTGTCATTATTTGACCATGCTATATTCTGTCTCCCCAATGCTTTACAAATGCTCTTCCCACAGCCTAGAACACCCTTTCCTATCTGATGGGTTACCCCCAACTCAGCCTTCAAGACTCAGCCTCTTTTGGTGAGCCTTTCCTAATTCTCCACCCCATGCCCCCTGCTATTGCAATCCCCCAAGGTTGTCAGATGCTCCTTTTCAGTGCTCCCAGCACTCTGACTTGACCCCTATTAAAGCACATATGACATTGCAGTGTAATTGTCGGATTGTCTCCTACATTTGACTATAAGGTCTCTGAGGGAAAAATGTGTCTTATTTTTCTTAGCATCTCCAATGCCTAGCATGCTACCTGGCACAAAATAAGCATGTAATAAATGTTTATTAATGAGTAAAAATAATGCTATAATCTAGACTTGGGTTCATGAAGACAACTGTGTTCGCTCTTTGGCTGACTTATTCCTGGTATTTTGCAGACCACAGCATCCTCAGCAGTGTAGGGAGAAGCAAAAAGAGGAAGGAAAACCTATCACTCTATAACATTCGTTGTCAAAATTTTGGAGGAAGGTAAGCAAAGCTTACTGAAGATTTCCTTTTGTAGATCTTTTATTTATTCTACCTATGCCTGACTCATATGGTCAAATATATATTTGTTGAATAATTGTTTAAACATTTGGGATATATCAGTGAACAAAACAGAGAGCCCTCAGAGGGCATGAGCTCTACGAATCACCTTTAATCAATCATTTCCCCTTTCTGTGTCTTAGTCCTGCATTTGCGAATAAACAAGAAACACCTTAATGGAAAGCTTCAGACTCTCAGATGAAAGCCACTGGTAAACACATGGATATATTGTTCATAAGTGCTGCCACTTCTCTTCAGAACCAAGAACAGTTAAGAGAAGGAGGTCACTCATCAAATCTACTCTGCTCTTGTTCTCAACAATTCATACTAATAGGCATTGAATTCATGTTTTTAAAAGGAAGTTTTATATATACAAGTGATGCATTGTGAGGTTTCGGCTTCCTTCCTAGCTGCAAATCTCCTTGAAGCTCCACCTGGGACAGTAAGCCCCACCCATATGCACCACTTTGGCGCTTCCCTTCTCTGGTTTGCTGGGGACTTTGCATTGAAATCCTCTATCTGGGCGCAACCTCTCAGCTTTAGAGGCTGGTCTGGGCACAGGGATGATTTCCTACAGAAACCAGGCATACGTGAAGGGGACCAAGGGGAGCTTATATGTTTCCTTCCCACAATCCCAGCTTCTACCGAAGTGGAAGTTAGACTGGAAATAAAAGCCACACTGATTTTCTTCTGAGAAAACACATTACCATGTTTGAAAAATTGCTCTGTGGGAAATATCTTTATTTTACAATACTCTGTGGCTCTGAAGTGACCGCATGATTGCATTTCTGACAGTATTACTGGTATAATTCTCAGTCTCCCCAGAAAGAGCAATGTGGGGTTTTCCTCCTGGGAAGAAAAGGCAGACTCGCTGGTCCGAAGGAACACTTGATTTAAGCACGGTACAAAATAAGTAAAAACGCAGCAAATAATGCAAGTTTGGCATTTTAGCTAAAATAAATGGTCTTATCCAGAACACTATGCGAGCGTGAAAGAGACTGCAAAAATAATAACTCCGTTAACTTTGACTGTTTTTACAACTTCCCAATGACTCACTCACGTCTCCAAATGGGGAAATGTGAGACGAACTGAAGGGAAAGAAACTGGAAGAGTAAAATGTAAACATCAGAGGGAAATATAACAGGAGGGTGGAGGAAGGGGACAGCTTCAGTGTCATCCTCGCCTGCCCGTTGTGATCTAGACAGACCCCCGCCGGTCTAGTGTTCCATGGAGGCCGCGCCGTGGCGACAGAGGACCCGTCTCTGGCCATCGAGCCCCTAAAAGGCGCTTTCGCAGGAACAGGGCGGCGGTCTGGGGCGCGGCGGGGGTGGGCGCAAGCAGCCCTCGTCCAGCGGCTCCCGCCGAGCGTGGTGGTAATGGGGATGGGGCCAGCGGTGGCGGTGGAGCGCTTGGTGGCCCCCGCCCCCCTCGTCGTCCTCCGCGACTCCCTCCCGCGCGCAGCAGACAGAGCCCAGGCGCCTCCGCAGCTGCCGCCGGAGCCGCCCGTCGCCCGCCTGGAAGAAGAGGTAGACGAAGGGATTGAGAGCGCTGTTGGCCACCGCCACGACGCGCAGCGCCGCCGCCAGGCCCTCTCCCTCCCAGTCTTCCGCAGGCCCAGGCGACCACGCGGCCGCCAGCCGGGCGACGAAGTAGGGCAGCTCGCAGCCCGCGAACAGCAGCGCCAGCACCAGGCTCATCTTCAGGCTCTGCACCTTGGCGCGGGACAGCGCGCTGTGCGCGGGGGCTCGGCGCCGCCACCACACACACAGCAGGCGGCCACAAGCGACGCTCATGACCGCGACCGGCGCCACGAAGCCCGCGACAGCCTCGTAGAGCGCGTAGACCTGCAGGTGCCAGCGCGGCAGGGGCGCGAAGATGCCTCGGCAGCGACGCTCCCCGGGCCAGGGGCGGGCGGCCGGGGGCGCGGCGGGAGGCGGCGGTGGCGTCAACGGG